ATTGATTATCCGTATGGAATAAAGTTGGATTCTTTCCTCCTATCTATAAAATAAAGCATTTCTAAGTAGATTGAAACTTGAATATGAAATGTAAAAACTATAAAACTTTAGAAGACAATGTGGAACACTATCTTTCTAATCTTAGAGGGGGAAATATTTCTTAAGATACAAAAGTACAAAATCCAGGGTGTCCCCCCAAAATGCATACACACTTTGATTATAAAGTCATTAGTAACATACAGTTCATTTTCAAAATTTAAAAGAATCTACAGAAATGAATACCTTTGTTGTCAATGCCTGTTTTCAAACTGATGACTGTTCTGGTCCAGACACTGCTGATAATGTGAAGTAATGGAATCGCCAACATCAAGAATCATTTTGTTTGGTATCTGTGTGCCCTCAATTTGTTGACTGTTGCTGGTTTTGTACCATAAACGTTATCTTTTATGTATCTCCATAAAAAAAAGTCTAGTGGCACTTTAGGATACTTTGTTCAAAGCTTATTATGGCTTCCCCCATTATTTCAAATCAGTTATACCTGAAAACGAGTGAAAATTAACTGAGTTATCAACTGTTAAAGTGTGTATACATTTTTGGTGGACACCCTATATCAGTGATGGCGAACCTGTGACACGCGTGTCAGTGGTGACACGCGAACTCATTTTTTTGGTTGATTTTTCTTTGTTAAATGGCATTTAAATATATAAAATAAATATCAAAAATATAAGTCTTTGTTTTACTCTGGTTGCAAATATCAAAAAATTTCTATATGTGACACGGCACCAGAGTTAAGTTAGGGTTTTTCAAAATGCTGACACGCCGAGCTCAAAAGGTTCGCCATCACTGCCCTATATAAAGGAAAAGATTAATAAATTGGGACTGATGTTATATTTAAAGATGACTTAATAAAGGACAAATAAAGTGAAAAACAAGCCTTAAAGTAGTTGTTTGCAAGTCATAACTTCCTTTGAGTTAACATACAAAAAACATAAAAGAGCCGATAGATCACTAAGAAAACGGCAGCCCAGCGAGACACGGTGCCGAAGACAGGAACAGGAATTTCACAGACAAAGAAGCACAAATGGCCCATAAACACAGGAAAAGTTTCTCAGTCTTTTAGTCATCAAGGAATTACAAAGCAAAACCACATACTATTTATCACCCACCAGATTGGCAAATATTAAAATGTCTGACAATACTAGTAACAAGGACTGGCCAGAACGTGGAGAGGCGGGACGTCTCTCCGCAGCTGAGGGGAGCGGGAGTCACTGCAGCCGCTTCGTGAACACAAGTTGGCAGTGCCCAGTGGAACCGCATGTGCATAACTCATGACCCAGTAATTCCACTGTTAGGAAATTCTTACATATGGCCACCAGGAGTCATGGACAAGAAAGTTCATAGCAGCATTATAAATTAGGGGAAACATGGAAACTACCCAAATGTCCATTGGCAGTGGAATGAATATATAAATTAGGATGTAATTAAGTAATGAAGTACCATCAAACAGTGAAAATAAATGAATGAATTACAGTTACATATGTCAGTATGGATGAATTGTAGCATCATTGTGAGTGAAAGAAGCAAGTTGCAGGGAAAAAAATGTAAGCCTATATAGGTTTCAAACACGTAGTAAATGAACCATATTATTTACGCATAATTGCTAAAAGAATAAAATGAAGGAAACGATTAGTACAAAATCCAGGACACTGATTATCAGGAGAGGAGCTGGCGGTGGGTGTGGGCCGTTAGGTAAGGACCCAGAGCGAGGCTTCAAACTGACTATAATGTTGTATTTCTCAGGAAAAATAGTGGGTAGATGAATATATGTTTTATGACTCTTTAAACTGTACATGTATGTTTTATATACTCTGATATGTTTTTAAATGTAAAAATAGTTTAAAAATTTAAGAGATGGTAGGAATTGTTTTTGAAACTAGGTGAAGTAGATTAGGGTATTGAAAATGCACAAAAGTTGAAAATGATTGCCTAAAAGTGTTTGGAGGAGATTTAATTTCCTAGGGTAAGGCTTCTTCATATATCAGTTTTAGAGTCTGAGTGAGGAGGAGGCCGAGTAGCGTAATGAGGTGTGGGAGACACCAGTCTCTCGGCCTGGCTGTTTTCCTCCTCCCTCACTCCCTTCTTCAGAGCCATAAATATTCAGTGACTGGCTACCAAGTGTGGGTGTTGTCCTAGGGACCAAGGAGCAGATGAGGTGATGCCCCCATCTTGCCATTGCAGCAGTTTTCGAACCGTGCTGCAGGCTTTGTTACTCTTAGCCTCTTAACCAGACTCCACCATGAAATTCACTTCAGGTCTATATCAGAATCCAGTCTTTGAGATCTTTGTAAGGCAATAATTTATTTACCTACTAGAGGTCCGGTGCACGAATTCGTGCACGGGTGCAGTCCTTCACTGTGGCCGGAAGTCGGGGCCAATTGGGACTGCTGGGGGGAGGGACCACGGAGGTTGGCCAGCCGCAGGAGGTTGGCTGTGGGAACGCACTGATCACCAGGGGGCAGCTCCTGTGTTGAGCGTCTTCCCCTGGCAGTCAATGTGCATCATAGCGACCGGTGGTTTGGTCGACCAGTCGTAACAGTCGTTTAGGCTTTTATATCTATAGATTTAGACAACCTAATTGAATTCGAACCTTTGACGTTTTCAGGGTAACACCCTTTTTGTTTTGGTGCTAGCCCACAGTTAATATCCTAATTCCAAGATATATTTATTTCTAATTTTTCCTTACCTACATATCAAGCCTTTCTTAATATACTCTAATAATTTAGAATTGACTTTGCTGTATTGATTTTTACCTTTCTATCTATATTTTTGAGACTTGAAATTGGATCTAATCTTAAACCTTGACTTAAAGCAGTATTTTCAAAAGCACACAAGCATACATACTGCTGGAGAGTATGAGGTGGGGCAAAAGGAAACATTTTTTATTTTAACAGTCATGTAGTTATTTTAATGTTTATTGTAAAATATATGTATGGAACCTGTGATTTCATGGCTGTTATTACTCAGGATGCAGCTAAAGCAGTCTATATGCTAATCCATCTCACAGTCTGCATGAATAATGGCCCAGGTGGTTCCCAGACAGAGCACAAAGTCATGAAATTAATACATGGCTTACAGATGTTGTGTTTAGTTGTAAAGGCGAATTTAGATATTCTCTGGTGTCCTCTGATTGTCTCCTACTTGTATCATAACTCAAAAAATAAAGCATATGTGTTTTGCTCAGGAAAAATTCATCGAGGCAAATAATTTGTTCAAATAACGTATTTTGTTATAGAGCAGGTTCTAGAAATACACAAATGAATAAAATGTAGATCCTACCCTTCAAGAGCACCAGTCTAACAGAGATAGGCACGTAAGTTAAAAAGTGCACTAGGACATGGGAAGTGCACCAGTGGAAATCCGTACATGGTACACAGGTGGCTCGGAAGGTGGGCGCTGACGTCTGGAGCAGTGAGGAAAGTCTTCACAGAGGAAGAGGCACCAGCAAGCAGCCTTGAGAGCTGACGAACATTTACAGAGAGACAGGCCGGGAAGGCAGCCCTCAGAAGGACAGGTGCCTCCACAGCTAGGAGGACACGGTGTGTTGGGTTCACCTGAGCAGCTTGTCATTTATGCTGGTGTGAGGGGAAGGCTGAGGAGAGAGGCAGGAGCCAGGCATGAAAGCTATGGACTATGATGGCATTTATTTAGATCTTATTTTATAAGTGATTGTCATCCTTGAGAGATTTTAAGCAGAAGACTGACATGTCTGGGGACAGTGTAGGTGATGGGATAGAGGAGGAGCAGTCAGTCACATTATGGGGGCCGTTTTCAGAATTTCTGCTTTGTTTAGCTTCGTATGGTTTTTCAGGAAATTAGATTACATTTAGACTTGCCCCAGAATTTAATGGGTTGAAAGGGATAGTGGTAGGTGATTTGGAGTCAATATATGAAATTTCTGAAGAAATTGTTATTATCCCATCTTTATTTTGAACAAGGTATTAACCAACTTCACCTAACTTTGCTTAAAGGCAAACAGATTTTTGCTTATTTTGTGTTAAAATACACGCAAGCAGCGTATGAAAGTTAAATGGAGACATGGTGGATGTGGTACACAGCTGCAAGCAAGTTCTGTTTCCCAGTCAAGGTGATGCATACAGTAATGCACTGCAGAGGCCGTAGAATGAAGTGTTTAAATTTCTCTGCAGTTAATATCCTACCAAGAAAACTTCAGACAACAGTGTTATTTACAGGGAATTGGGTGGACAACAAAATCAGGATCCTATAAAAAGCCTCCTTTAAGTAATGAAAACTTAATTGTGGCATATTGCTTACCTGGTGCTATTTACAATTAAATCTTAGACTTGATCATTTTTGGCTTTGGCGAGTATTGTTCTACGTTCCACAGAAATATATTAGTACTAGTATGCCAACGTATTTTCCTCCCTCAGCATATCGTAATGTAGTCACAGGTCTGATGTGCACTGCCTGTCTGTGAGGGTACTCATTTGTGTCTGTACTCATAGCCAGACCCTTAACACCAAATTTTCTGCCTCACATTTATTTTGGGAATATTCTCTAAATAGGCACATTTTGGCATGTGGTTAGTCAGCTAATTTGCTAAGATTAAAAAGCCACGAGCTCTCAGCATTTTAGCCCAACAAACATTTCTGACTCCAGTGAGGGAATTAACATCTTACCAAAAAGAGGGACTGTATGCAAAGGGCACATAGGGACATTCGAAAGGAAAGTTAGCAGGAAGTTGGTAGTGTGACTGCATGTAGAGGTGGGGAAGGAAGCACAGACGTGAAGGAGCACAGGTGACCCGGGACAACTGTGGATTCCTTTCTGCAGAACCCACTGATGTTGGTTATAATGAAACTTAGTTTGTATTTGAAAAGCTTTTTCCTATAGCTCTTGTCTCCATTTCTTTTGAAATTCTTTGAAGATTTAGTTCCTTATTTCTTTAATTCCTTGTTTCCTTATTTTCTGCTTTGACACAGAAATCCCCTGCAAAGAAGCTGAGCCATGCAATTAGTAAATCTTTGGGGTGTGTACCCACCCGAGAACCCCCGCATCCTGTTTTTCCTGAGCAACCTGAGAAACCACTCGACCTTGCAAATATCGTGTAAGTACAGACCTGGGTACGGACGTGGGTGAGACCGAACTGGAGACCTCGCTAAATTCTCTTGGATCAAAACTAAATGTCACCTAACATAACCATCGCCACAAATGTCTATGTGGAAACCTAGCTCCTGAGTCCTGAAGTCTAAGGAACGCTTAGCAGCCTCCAACAGAAAGATTAACACATTGAAGGGTAGTTATTGTGCTGGGTTAGCAAGGTTGTCTTTCGTTGTTGGTTTGCGCTTCCCTTAAATCAGTGGTTGAGATAATTTCCTCTCTACAGCAGCAATGCCCATAGGTTTTAAAACTTAGTTTAACTTTAGACCACATGGAAATGAAAATCTGATTTACTCTTTCTGTGTTGAGAGAAAATGAGGAAACATAAGGCTATATTTTATAAACAAAACTAGTGTCATATATATATCCTATATGATAAAAGGGTAATATGCAAATTGACCCTAACAGCAGAACGACTGGGAATGACTGGTCACTATGACACACACTGACCACCAGGGGGCAGACGCTCAATGCAGGAGCTTCCCCCTGGTGGTCAGTGCGCTCCCACAGAGGGAGCTCTGCTCAGCCACAAGCCAGGCTGATGGCTGCCAGCACAACGGTGGTGGCAGGAGCCTCTCCCGCCTCCTCAGCAGCGCTAAGAATGTCCGACTGCAGCTTAGGCCTGCTCCCCGCTGGCAAGTGGACATCCCCCAAGGGCTCCCGGGCTGCCAGAGGGATGTCTGACTGCCAGCTTAGGCCCGATCCCCCGGGGAGCGGGCCTAAGCCAGCAGGTGGACATCCCCCGAGGGGTCCCAGACTGTGAGAGGGCACAGGCTGGGCTGAGGACCCCCCCCCCCGAGTGCACAAATTTTTGTGCACCGGGCCTCTAGTATATATATGTATGTAATTTTTAAAATTGGTTATTCGTGCTAGAAAGCTTAAGGGACCAAAAATGTTAGTACAAATAAGGAGAAGGAGAAACAAAGAAGAATAAGATTCAGACTCTATTATGATCTCTTCATTCTGAATTGAATGATGATATTAAGTTTACTCAGTTGGATAAAGTTGGTTGGCTTTTTGATCATGAGTCTTTATCAGGTATTAGAAGATTTTCTGTTGGAGTAGACATTCATTTTTTTCACCTACCTGATAGTAGACTAATACAAACATGTGGTTTGAAAATTCAGTGATACAGAAGAGCTTAAAATGAAATGCAGTACATCCTCCCCCACTTCACTGTCTTTTGTTTGGCTTTTAGATCTACTAGTGGTTACCTCCATATCTCTAAATAATACATGTAGAGCACATTTCTTGACTTACCAGTTTTGGGTATTACTGAATCCCTTCTGTGGTATAAGGAACCAACCTTCTTTATAATTGTATATATCAACCCACTCCAGTTTTTCATAATTATATCACCATTTTTTTAAGTTGGTCAACTTTGTAATTTTAAATAATATTCTTAAACCTCTATTTCTTGTAACTTCTTTTGACTTCTCTGTAAAAAGAGAAAATTAATAGCTTCTATTTCTCCTGTCTCCTTTTGCCTTCTAACTTCTGTCATCTATGCCTTTACTTTTATTGTCAAAACTGATGCTATTTCTATGTTAGTTCCCTTCTATGTCAGCCTTCTGAGATTTAGTAAGGGTTAAATCTAAAAGTTGAAAACCAGATCACAGCATTCACAGTTAATACCACTTACTACAGAGTCAAACAGTGAGCTATGATTCTGTATGTTCTTTTGTGTAGTTCCAATTTCATGACCCCTGTGCACTTGTTCTCTCTTCAGAGTTCAATGGGAACTTCTCTCTCACACAGCACTGATCGCTCAAAAGCATGCCTACTGACTTTATCATTGCATTGACTTTCTGACTTGTTTTTTCTTCAGTTTCCCATTGCTTTCTTCTTCTTGCTGGGGGGAAAAATGCTTCCCCCCCCCATCCCACCACTGTGTTCCACAATGAACTTTACTTATTGCTTGTAATCCATTTTGGGGGTTAAATTTTCCCCTTTTTGGTCAGTATTTTTTTATATTGTATTTTTTATATTTAAGAAAGTCCTTGTCTATTCCAACATTGTAGTGTGTTGTTTTGTTTTTGTTTTTGTTTTTTTAATATATTTTATTGATTTTTTACACAGAGGAAGGGAGAAGGATAGAGAGTTAGAAACATCAATCAGCTGCCTCATGCACACCCCCTACTGGGGATGTGCCTACAACCCAGGTACATGCCCTTGACCGGAATCAAACCTGGGACCTTTCAGTCCACAGGCCGACGCTCTATCCACTGAGCCAAACTGGTTAGGGCTGTTGTTGTTGTTTTTTTTCTCTCTTTTTTCCCCCTTTTTAAGTTTTGAGACTGTCCCTATCCACTTATGTCTTTATTTCATCTGAAGTGGATTTTTCTGTATAGTGTAATTAGAATATGTAATTCTCTTTCTCTCTTTCTCTGTTTTTGAATAATAACTCGTCTAGAGCCATTTATTGGATAATCCCTCGTTTCCCCACTTACTTATAATGCCATCACTTTCATAAATTACATTTCTAAATAGACGTAGTTTGGTGTCTGGGCTCTTTCTTCTGTTCCTTTGGTTAAATTGTTTATCCCTATGCCAGTATCACACTATCTTAATTACTATAAGGGAGTAAGTAATCTTTTTTAAAGAGTGTTGTGTCTGTCCTTAGCTCTTTCATATAAAGTTTAGAATCAACTTACTGAGTTCCTCACAAAATTTTGTTGGATGTTGATCATTAAATCTAAAGATCAAATTGGGGAAATTGACCTCTTTACAATATTAAATATTTCATTTTATGGATGTGTTATGTCTTTCAATTTATTTAAATACTAGAGGCCTGATGCACGAAATTCGTGCAAGAGGGTTTGACCCCCCCCCCCCCCATGGCTTTGTCCGGAAGGTCGTTCAGTCTAATTAGCATATTATGATTTTATTATTATAGATATATCTTTATGTCTTTCAATAAAGCTTTATTTTTTGTTGTTGTTGTTAATCCTCACCCAATGATATTTTTCCATTGAGTTTTTAGAGAGAGTGGAAGGTAGGGGGAGAGACAGAGAGAGAAAAACATTGATATGAGAGAGACACACCAATTCATTGCCCTCTGAGGGCCGGGGATTGAGTCTGCAACTGAGGTACATGCCCTTAACTGGAATCAAACCTGGGACCTGTCAGTCTGTGGGCCGATGCTCTATCCACTGAGCCAAACCAGCTAGGGTTCAATAAAACTTTATAATTTTTTCCAGATAGGCCTTATATATGTTAGATTAATTGTTGTATACTTTACACTTGTTGTTGTTGCAAATGGTACCTTTTGTCCTACAGTTTTTTTTAATTTTCTTTATTGATTAAGGTAATACATATGTGTCCTT